AACTAGTTCTAACGACTACTAACCAACTAACATATATAAACCAACTACTCCCTCGTCCTCTACGTAACTAACGTAAGACACAACAACACAATACTACTCTCTCTCTCTCTCTCTCTCTCTCTCTCTCTCTATTTAAACCAACCAGTCTAAACAAGCCCAAGTTCTCTCTCTAAACTGTTTCTTCTCTCTAAAACCCTAATACAAAACTGAGACCATCCAATCTTCTTCCCATCTCCAAAACTATCAAAAAAAGCCATATTCCTTCGACCAGAAAGCGTGATTCATAACCATATTGAATCACATTTAGAGTTCCCTCTGAGACAACAATGTGAATGCCACAGAAAGAGATTGATCAAGCTCATGTGTTCAAGGCCGACTGTCCCGGTCTGAAGAAAGAGGAAGCAAATGTTAGGTTAGAGGATGATAAAGTAATGCAAACAAGTGGAGAGACAAACAAGGAGATGAAAGAGAAGAATTATAGGTGGCATATAATAGAGAAAAGCCAAGGTAGGATTCTGAGGAGATTCAGACTCCCGGAAAATGCAATTATTGATTAAGTGGAAGCCGCCATGGAAAATAAGGTTCTAACTGTGACTTTGCCCAATGTTGAAGCCCCAAATCTTGATGTGAAATTGACTGAGATTTCAGACTAAATTTCTTGGGTTTTCTACCATGGAAGGTTTGGGATCCAAAGTTTTTAGAGAGAAAACAAGTAGGTTAGGATTCAGAAAAGGGGTTTGGTCTCTTAAGGAGTTTTAAGAAACATAGTAGGTCACAGTATTGTACATAGAGTTGTAGAGACTTCTCTCTTAGAGGGAAGTGAGTATGTGATGCACCCCAGAATGCTGCTCTCGAATATCTAGATAAGAGAGATAAGCATAAAGATTACAAGAGGAACCACAAAAGGAAAAATTAATAATTGAGTCTATCCTTTTATGTCTTTTTAGTCACTTAGGGACAAAGTAGTAGTTTCTAGAGCTTTTTATGTCTTTTTATTCACTTAAAGTCTTTTATAATAAATGGCTATGATTAGATTAGATGAATAGCTAGGATTAATTATTGCTTAGGGTTTTCTTATATAAGGGATGTACTCAAGCATAATGGATGATTATGTTATAGACTTTTATTCAAAACCCGAACGCAGCAAGTGCTCCTTTTATATCTAGTATTTGCATCTTTTTCTAGTTTTGAATCTTCCTATCTTCTTCTTTGCTAAAACACTAACTCAAACTACTAGGTCTACATCCGGTTGGCATCAAAACTCAATGATAAGTAAGGATGGTATTGTAGCATGTACTGTTGCAGAGTACTGTAGCATCGATTGTTACGCCCTAAATCAACAGCCATACCTCCGCACACAGGACAAGGAGGAAAAGCAACGATTATAGAAGCCTTTGATGCTAGTTTGTGAGAAGGGATTCCAGATCTAAGGAGATTGGTTGAAATCCTAGATCTGCTTTTGGGGCTGATGGGAGCTCCATTTTAAAAGGATGAGATCGAGGTAGATGAGGAAACCGTAGTTCCCTTTCATGATCAAGCTTCAAGAAGAGAGGCAGCTGATTGAACTGATACGGATAATAGGAGGTGGGAAACTGGTCTCAAGGTTGAGATCTCGAAGTGTTATGGAAGTCTATACAAGGATATCCATGGAGATACTTTATTCCCATTAAATGGTTCTCAAGATTAGCACGTTGTGGATTGGGACTTACCACCAGTCCTAGACAAGTACCTGGATGAAGATTTGGGTGTTTGAGAAAGAAGTGGGTGATCATAGCTTTAATGATGATCCAATCTGTAAAGAGGATAAAAAGGAAGATCCTACAATTGGAGAGGATTTTATGGATGCTCCTATTCTTGATGAAGAATAGGGTGGATGTCAAGGAGTGGTTCTCAAAATATCAGAGGTAACTGGTATCTTAGTCCCCAAAGAAAGTAGCGAGGAGAATGATACTCATGGAGGGAGATAACAATGTTCTTCTTCTTGGAATTTTTCCTAAACATAGAGTAGTATGTGAGGTGCGCCCAAAGGGTATGAGCATTTAGCTAGTGAGTTCAACATAGAAGGTGGCCATCGAATAGGTGCTTATGTGATTCCAGATGTTAGAGTTCATCTTCAACCATTATTATGTTCTAAGAGAAGAACCTCTATATCTAATCACTAAGTGCGAGTTTAATGAAAGCACGGAGGAAATGCATCATTTATCTAGAGCCGCTTCAAAATTCATAGCAGAGTATTCTCAGATGTGCTCAGGACCAAGTGTGATGTGCTTATATATATGGCAATTCTCAATGAGCCCAAAACATAGTTAACCCAATGTTTATGGGGACTGCAGTAAAATGACGTGCCACGATCTCAAATCTTGTCAAGGTAAAACTATTCAAAACTTTGAAGAAGATCAATGACAATGCCTATCAATTAAAGCCTCCCACCCGAAATTCACACTTCTAATGTTTTTAATGTCAAGCATCACATTCCATATCGTGGTGATACCTCTGACGACATGCCGCTGAATTTGAGGACGCATTCTTTTGAGGAAGGGCAGACTAATGCAGCGTAAAATATCGTTCTAGAGTATCTAGATAAGAGAGATAAGCTTAAAGTTTACAAGAGGAACCACATAAAGGCACCTTAGTCATTGAGTTTATCCTATTATGTTCTTTATTCATTTCTTGAGTTGTTTTATTCACTTAAGGGCATAAGTAGTAATTTCTAGAGTCTTTTAGTTAGTTTTATTCACGTAAAGTCTTTTAATAATAAATTGCTAGTTTTAGATTAGATGGATGGCCAGAAATAAGTCTTGTTTAAGGGATTTACTCTAGCATAAGATGATTACGTTATGGACTTCTATTCAAAACCCTAGAGCAGCATTTTGTACTCCCAACCATAATTGGATAAAAGGCAGCAAAATTATCCCAATCTACCAAATGAATGAAATGCAGTTGGTTGAAATCATGGGGATGGAATATTTGTTTTTGATAAAAATGCACTTACATTTTCATTTGCAACCAGAAAAGGGGTAAAGCAAGAGTCTTAACACATTATGTGCAATTAAATACAGAAAGTGCTCAAGCAAAATATTTGTCATATTCTCAAAACAGGGGCTAACTTTACCATGCCATTCCTCTCATATAATATGCATTTGCTATAATAGCACAAAACCCTTTCCATTGGAGTTTGGTTTCAGCAGAGACAGGAGATGTAGATGACCATCGGACAACAGTTGGCTGAGGGGTACATAATATGGTGATAAATATGATGCTCAACCACAGGATGCACTCTTCAATCTGAAACACAAACATAATAATTACAAAAAGTTAAAAGAGTCCTAATGCCAATCACCACGACACAAACAAAACAAATCACAGCCTGATGAAACTTTGGCACAATACAAATAACAGATTGTCGTAAACTATATCAATAATGCTAGAACTGTTCAGTCTTGTGGCCTTTAAAGGCCTTAGCTCTTGTGTTATCATGCAGAGAATTCATGTGCACACCCCTGTTTTTTGAGTGAGAGTGAAGATTGGTCCATGAAGGACCAATGGGCTCCATGGATGAAAAGGGGAATTTAAACGTCTCGCAGAGTGCCATGGACTCTCACCTTGTTTTGTGCTAGATTTTAGCTTGAGCCAAAAACCCACACCATAAGTTTTGTAGTGGCTTAATGCTTGATACAACTATTTACAGTTATAGGTCAATCGTTGCAAAGGTCGGCAGGGACATAAATGATATGGTAGCACAAGAGGAAGGGATACTCCCATGTGAGGTAGGCTTTGAGGGCGAAAAGATACTCCTGTGTGAGGTTTGTAAGCCTAAGAGCAAGGACAAAAACCACCACATACCATCCTTATGGCATGCATGTATGCTAGCCCAGTTAACCATGGATTTGGTTAGGACCTGAGATAGGTTTGCATATGCACGTGCTTGGAGAGGAAGCCCCACACCTGGACTGAGGGCTCTAACGATAACGAAAATCCATTGCAAATCTGAGTACATCTACCCCTTAGCTCGATAGGTCAATCATGAGCCCCTACAAAGAGAGAGATGGATCACGGGTTTGATGGGTTGCTTTGAGGTGTAAAGAGTGATTGCAACGTTAACTAGTTTGGAGTGCCCAATTATAAGTCAGTTCTTTGTCCCACTGCATGCGTGCTCTTTCAAGATATTCCCAATGTTTTCAAGAAACTATTTAGAAGAATTAATTGCTTTTTATTTCTCATAAAAGTCAGCTAAGATATGTTTTTGTGTTATTAAAAGAGAAGGAAAGTATTTTTAGAATAATTTTGTCTTTTCCAGGGACTAATTTAGAATTTTTCATTTGTTTTGTAGAAAACAAAGGACCACTATGTATGACAATTTTGGCCTTAAAAGACATTTATGGGCCATTGAGTTGGCACACATCTGGCCTCTCCAGATCCAAGTTGATCATGTGGGCTTACTCGCCATGGGCTCCATCCCATGGCAAAAGGCAGAATTCTGTTCAAAACTGAATTGAATGTATCATAGATTTTTGGATTCTTCGAGAGTTTGTATAACCATCAAAATATTTTTACAGATCCTCTTCTAAGATATGGGTGACTATAATTCAAATTGAATTGCTCTTTAAAGATGTGGAAAGTCATTCTTGAAATTCAAGTGTAATTAGGAAATCTATTTAGAGAACTTCTCTTAGATTGGAAAAGAAATCCCACAAGGAGATTGAAAGAGTGTGGAAAAAGCAATATGGGATAATTGTGTAACCTCTACCCTTGAATTGTGACGGTTGGCCCTTGTGTAGAAAGGCAAATTTAAAGGCCTCTCTCACCCCACATATCTCCTATTGAAGGCATAAGTCCAAATTCACCCTGACTTGATTAACTTGTATTTCTAATTTTTATTTAATTTTAGGGATGTATTTGTGATATTTTTTTTAGAGTTTATTTTTAGGATTTTTTAAATTTTTCTAGGATTTTAAGTAGTTTGGGAAAGTAGTTGGATCGTCATTTTCTTTTTGTCAAAAGTGGAATTATTTATTTTGGGGTAAATCTACCACAAATTATATTTTTTTGCTAGGAGTTCGTTTTAAATTAAATTTGGAGTTTTAGTTAAATCTAAACAGGGATCGTTAGAGAGTTTCGGGCCACGATTTCATAATTATTTTGTTTAGGGTCTGGGTCTCACCAGAGAGCTAAGAAGAATGGCTTGTAAGCTTCGATCCCAATTTCAATCAAATTTTTGTTTATTTGATTACTTCTGTGAATTCATTTTACATCTTCAGAGCTTCCTTTTTACTCTGTATTAGCTTCAATCAGAGAAGGCCCCTCTCCCATGCACCCCGAGACACTGTAAATATGCACAATAACTACTAGAGGAAGTCAAGAAGGCCGTGGTCTTGGTGGTGAAAATTAAGGATCCATATGGGAGGTTCAAGGAATTGGCTCAAGATGTGCACCCAACCTACTCTAAACGATGTTTGACCATTCATGACAATGGAAAATCTCTGAATCTTTCATAATGCTGGATCAAGTTCAGGGAATTATAAACCACCTTGCAACGTGGGGACAGAAATCTTGTTCTGCATGAGGATCAATTGCTTGCTTTCTTGATGGCGCCAAGTGTTGGGGAACTTTATTCTCCTTGAATTATTTCCAAAAATAGCAAGTCACAAATCGGGATTTGCTACCAATCTTCGATCAATGTCTAGATAAAGAAGTTGATCTTATTTTCAATGAAGAATGAAATCTTATTTTCAATGTAGTCTATAAGGAAGAACAGGATGAAAGGGAAGTAGTTGTCAATGAGGTAAAGGAAACATCTGCTTATTTTCATCCATGGAATGAGAGAGTGAACTCCGAAAAGAAGAAGATTGTTGTCTATGATATATATATATATATATAGATAGAGAGAGAGAGAGAGAGAGAGAGAGAGAGAGAGGAGAAGGAGAGATCTAGTGGTAGGACGTACGTTACGTTAAGGAAAACGTAACTACCGAACGACGAAGTAAAGAACGACGAACGAACGAACGGAAAGTACGACGAC